AGAGGTAGAGGTAGAGGTAGAGGTAGAGGTAGAGGTATGGCTGATACGCTGCTCCTTGTGCTTCCCCGCCAGGTGTTCTCCCTCTGGCTCCCTATGTCCTATCACCAGGAGGATTTCTTCAAAGAATCCCTCAAGATGATGGCGAATATTATCGTCCTGAACTTGCTCATTTGTATTTCACTGGTCTTCTGGATCGTGTCCATGACGGCAAGTACGTACTACGGTGAGTCCAAAGACCGGGGGCTGGGGAGAGGCTGGCTCAGCCTGCCACCTCCCCCCTCCCCTCCAGCCCCTGCAGGCTGGTGGAGATGCAGGACTGGAAGAGGGGCATGCACAGCCCCTTCAGCATCAGTAGAGCTGAAAACCTCAGCCCTGACAGTAGCTGATGATGGTTGAGAAGGTGTTAACAGCTGCTTTATCCTTCTTTGCTGCTCTGGCTGGACATCCCGTTGAATTTAAAATGTTGTTACCCTTTGTGGTTTATCTCCCTAAAAGAAAGCAAATAGCATAAACATGAAAAAGTGAAAAGAAAGAGCGAGGTGATAGAGGTCTTCCGCTGTCAGGGGAAGCTGTGACAGTGTGGGAGGAGTGCGCCAGCCTTCAAAACTGTTTTAGGAATGCACGTGCAGTCTTTGAACGGAGCATGTGAGAGGAATTCCCTAGTCAAGGTGGAGGGAAACAGGAAATGGTACAAGAAGAGACAAATGTATGCATGGCATCTCTGACATGGGGGTACACACTCAGCTGTGTTCTGTTCACGCAACTTGGGCAGGCTGTGGGTTAGTTGTGTGTAGTTGCAGGGATGCTGGTACTTTCTGTGGTCTGTCATTTCAGTTCTAGGACCACTTTTACAGCAGCAGTAAAAAGCAAAAAGCAAAAGCAGCAGTACTGCCTTTAGTGTCAGTTCAAGCCTATAAGAGTTTAACAGCTTTCCCAGGACAGGTAAAGATCTGTCCTTAAGACCTCAGCCAGTTTCATGCAGGAAGAGTTCCAGTCTCACTGGAATGTTGCTGTTGCTGCAAGTGCCTAGGGATGCATTATGAACACCCCCAAGTGCCTAGTGTCACCTTGGATCCAGAAGGAGCTAGAATAAATATCCCACCAGTGTAAGCTGACTTTCGCAGTGAGAATTTGATGTCTCTGATCAGTGTTTTTCAGTGCTTTAGGTTGTATTAGTCTTGGTACAGCATTAAATCTGTATTGTCTGGACACTACTAATTTGGTTTGCAGTGAGATGCCAGACACATAGAAAGGTATGCAGAAGCAGGCTTCACAACCACATTTTGTTGGTGTCATTTAGAGATAGCCAAGTTGGATTTAAACATACTTTTGTTTGTGCATGTCTGCTCTCTACAAGTATAGCTCTCTGAGTTTTGCTTCTAATTAGGGTATTCCAGTCCTTGCTATCTAACATGATTTAGAATTGACAGTGTAGAGTGGAGAGGCCTGGTATCAGCTGAATCAGGATTAGGGACTGATACAAAGGAGGAGATTGCAGACAAATCTTCATTTTTGTAGAGAATGATTGTGGAACAAGAAGGACATACAACTTCTATTATCTGTTTGCCTGAGACTATAGAAAGACCTTGGCTTGAAGAGGTGAATGAAGTGTATAATAGAGTGGGTTTAATGAAGTGGAGAGAAAAATTAAATAATTTCAACCTGTAAAAGTGATGAAATTCAGTCCTTAACCATAAATATAAAAATACCACAAATTTACCTTTATTAATTTACAGTTTATGGATTGTAGTAGTGCTTAAGCACCAAACACTGACCAAAATGTTGATAAAATGGAAGTGTTAAAGAATCCATAGTAAACCAATGAATGTGTTCTATCTTAGTCTTAACTACTTACATTTAGTAGTAATTTAGTACCAATACTTTCTCTTTCTTTTCCCCCCAAGAAAATAAAAAAAGATGAGTTTAAAAGTGACCTTAGAAAGATGAAAATTCTGTTTGTGATTAGCAATACCAGACTACAGCACTGGAGATCTCTTCATACACAGCTGGTGATGCTTTTCTTTTGAGGTTTTGAGTCAACACTTGGGTGCCAGACCCCTGCGCGCCTCCTGCAGCATTGGGGCTTTTCAGTACACAGAAGAGAAGTTTTTGTCCTGTGAATCTTTGTGCTTGCAATGGCAAGTGTTTTACTGTGAAATACGTTTGTCCTGCTTTGCACCAGGGAGCCTATATATCTGCAAAGCTCTAGGTACTGCTGACACAAAAGTTCGTGTTGAAAACCATGATGTTTAGCTTTCCAGCAAGAGACACTGCTGTGCTTGTGAGTGGTCTTTCTTCTGTGAGATTGAGACTCACTTTAATGCTAGATTTACAATGTCTTATATTTGTATAGCAGATGTGATAACTTCTCATGGATTGGGCGGGAGGGTTAGCTCAAAGGCGACATTAACCATTAGCTTTGCTTTTCAAAGGTTTGTGGGTCTTTTAAACAAAAAATACCACTTGAAGTTTTGCTGAGATAGTCATTGGCTTAAAATATATTTTTGAGATCCTTACATTAAGTTCAAAATGATTGAAAGGGCTGATCTTTCAGAAAGCAATCACACCGCTTTCACCTAGTTGACTGGCTTCCTTGTCATTTTTCTGGTAGTGAAATTCTGTCAGAGGAAGTAGTGTAGTACAGGTTATAATCAATAGCTTTCTTGTCTCTGTGACTGCCAAGATGGAAGACTTTTAAACTATAGTATGAAAGAACAATTTCTTCTCAGACTATTAAGTTTCAGTATCCTTTAAGATGTAATTTTGGCATCTTTTGTGAAATTTTTGTCTTCCAATTTAAAGTCGAAATGAGGTGATAGAGCATAAAGGTTGTAAGAATCTTACTGCTAAGGCAGTAATTTATTGAGTCAGGTAATAATACACCTTTTAACTGGACAATAACAGCTCCTTTATTAACTGTTTTTATTTTAGTAAGTGTTCTGGAATTTTAGAAGGAAACAAATATGTTTAGGACATTGATAATAAATTGTCTCCTTAGAAGTAAGTTGCTATGGACTCTAGTGCTTTATGGAATGGTGTGGACTTATGACAGCTGAGTGTTTTTCCTGTTATTCAAGCTTGTTTAAATTCAGGTCATAGTGACGTGAATGACTACGCAAAGGGAAAAAACTGGAAACTCAAGAAAAAGCTTTTTAGAAGGCACTGTGGATACTTTGATGAGAAAATAGCTTGATTTTTTTTGTATTCAGTTTCGTTCATAAAAGTAGAATAATATCATTAAAAGCAATCCTTTCTTGTAAAAAGTTTTGGATTTGACTAATTTCCAGTTTAATACTTCAAAATGTTCTGAATTGGGTTTATTTTCTGTGGAACAAGGAGGATAACGGGTAACCTATTTTTGCATATATGTTAATACTACACCTGAAATGACTTATTTCTCTTCAGTTCCCAAAAAGCAGTATACTTTCCAAATACAGAAGCTTTTATTAAGTAGAATTGTTTTTATTTAAAGCAAGGAATTGATAGATTTAAACCATGCAATATATTGCTATTGTTAGCTCTGTGAGAGAACCAGTAAGCTACAATCAAATATTTGAATAGCTGTACCACAGGAAGCTCAGTTTGATTAAACAAAGTTAACCAGTAAACAAAGAGGAAGCCGAGAGCTGTCTTCTTACTTTTGCCACCTGTCCTGGTTTGAGGTAAAACAGGACCAATTTTGTTCAGTAACTTTACTTCTTAGCTGGGCCTCTCCAACTACTGAAATTAACAGCACATTGTGCAGACACTGTTCACTGTCAGAGTGATAAGACCAATGTTTATAGCTGATGCCCAGGCGTGGTATGGAGAGAGGCTCTTGCTTAAACTTACTGCTGTAACACCCAAGGCAGCTAACTTCGTTAGTTGCCCCGTTGGAGGGTCGGAAGTAGAAAAGCGTAGAGGGGTCCCACCTGCGGGGAGGAGCGGACAGGACAGGTGACCCAAACCTGACCAACAGGGTATTCCATCCCATCTGCCCCATGCTCAGTATAAAAGCTGAGGGATCAAAGGGTCAGTCCTCTTTCTTCAGTGGCTGACGTTTTAGGAGGATGCTGTCTGTTTGTCCACCTTTGATCCCGATCCTGAATCCAGATCCAGAATCCAGTTCCCGTCCATCACTAAGTCCAGTCTGGGACTGCCCCAGTGCCAGCCAGTGACGTGATTGTCGTCCTGGGAGCTTGATATGGTTTTGCATATATTTCATTATTTTCTTTTTATTTTATTTTATTTTTAATATTTCATTAAAGTAGTTGGTTCCTTCTAAACTCATAAGTCTCTTTTTCTCTCCTCTGCTTCTCTCTTTGAAGAGAGGTGGGGGGGAGCATGTGTTGGTCCCGTCTGGGATGCCCCATGTCCCCAGTGGCCAGTTCAGCCTAAACCAAGACACCATCCCTAAATTCGCATGTACTGCTGGCTTAGCAAATATGTAAACCTAAAATCCATATTCGTGTGAAATCACAAGGCAGGACTTGAGTAATGTGGCAATTCTTTTGTAGCTGCTGACAGAGAACAAAAATCAGTGGAAAGGATTCCCCCACTATGTGGGGCACATTAACTCATAGAAGAAGATTATGTCCTAGCTTACATATCTGCCTTCAGTCTATGCTGAATATACCATGCCATAAAGAAAATTTCTCATGCTAACATGTTGTGCAAGCAAAAGGAAATTCTCCTGTCACTAAATCTGTTTGATTGCACTGTTCTTGATAAAATTGAGAAAAAAATAACAGGGAGGATGGTGGAACATAGAAGTAGAAAAGGATTAGTCCGGAGAATCCTCAGAGAAGAAAACATTCCTGAGACTAAATATGTATTACAAGACATGAAATTGTTGGATGCAACTTGGTTTTCAGTAAGTCTCTGCAACACTCTGGGCCAAAGTGTGCAGTCAGAGGCTGTGCATGCACGCATGCAAAGCAAAGAATAAGAAATCTAAATCACCTTTGATTGTCATCTAAGCCAAATTTTCTGTAGAAATAGACAGGACAAGGAGAACTCCATTAGATAACTTCAGGCTTGCTTCAGGATAAATATTCAGGTGGAAATCAGACTATACAACACCAGATTTGTATGTCACCTAGCTACCTTTCCTTAAATACAAAATCTATAGTGTATATTGTTCTTTATTAAAAATTGTGGTTTGGGGAACAGAATGGCTTGCTGAAATAAGCTTAATTTTTAAAGTGTTCCATGTTTCCTTTGAATATTTCTAGGACTAGCCCTTTTGGTAAAAGTGTAGGGTTGATAAAGTCATAAGAACATCCATTGTAAAGCTGGTGGATGTGTTCTCAGGTCCTGAGGGATGTAAATTCTGCGTGTTGAGGAGATATGCTCCCGTGGTGGAGAGAGGGACCCAAGAGCTGGGTTACCATGGATAGAGGTAATCAGGTAGTAATGCAAGAAAAGATGATGAGAAGAACAGAGAGCAGCAGGGCAAATATATGTTTTACACCACAGCTGTCTATAGTTAATATACTGCATGACTGAAGAGGTCAGTAGCTTGGTTCAATACGTAGGGTAGGTAATTGGGGGAGGGGAATTACGCCATCCAGGTTACTTAATATATTCTCATCTTTTTTGGAAGTGAAAGGCCTTTTACTCCATCAAAAAATCAATAGATTGATAGATGTTGTAAAATCATAGTTGTAAAATCACAGCGTCTTTCTCTGCGGTGAGTACTGAGTGCGCTTGCAGTTGTCCCGTTTCAGAATGCCCACAGCAGAATGAGAAAGGAACACTGAAGGCAGCAAGGATGATCTGAGCAGGTAACACCATCCGTTTGAAAAGGACTTAAACAGGTAAAGCTATTTTAGCATAGAAAGGGGACATTTGTATAGGTCATGAATGGCAGGAAGAATGTGAATAGGAAATAATTATTCACTTGGTTATAAAATTTAGCAGATGTCCAATGAAACTTGAGGCAGCAGGATCTTTGTTCAGCTTTTTGAAAGGCTTTTTTCAGTGCATCTAAAACTAGAGTTCAGTTCTGTGGGTGGTTGGAGACGAAAATAAAATACAAAAATGGATTGGGCAAATATATGGGAGATTTTAGGAATGCCAACATGAAAGTTCCCAGTAAAACAGGGAAGATCGGTCATTATCTGTTCCTTATACCCTTTCCTTGTGCTTGTGCAGCTCGCCTCTGCCAGATGGGATTCTGAGTCAGACAGATGTTTGGCTTGATCCAGTTTGGAAGTTCTTATATTTTCAACCAAGTGTAGTGTGGAAACAATCAGAACATTTTGGTTCAACAAGAGTGATTTTTTTTTTTTTTTTCAACTGTAAAAGGTGGCCAAGCATCTAAACTTCCTTTTCTTCTATCAGTGTACATTATCAGTGATGTTGTGATTAAACTGATGATTTGTTCGCAGATGAGCAGAAAGACAGAATCAGTGTATAAAATACATACATATATGAACTGCAGGACTTCCTGCTACTTTTATTAGATGATAACAAGTATCACTGTAGCTCGACTAAGCACTCAAATATATTATAGAATATGTAAGTTTTCCAGACTAGAGTAAAAAGGATATGGTAGTAATACTAAAGCTATAGAAACACAGCTGTTAGCTGGCTTACATGCGTGCTGATGTCTTCTCTCCACGTAGACATGAAACTACTTCTTAAGTCTTCTGTCAGCCAAGTAGCAGCAGTCCCTCTGTTAACTTAGTGTACAATTCTAATTGATGGAATAGACAACGAAGTGACAGTATTAGGCACATCCTAGGAATAATTCAGAATACATAGATTATTTAAAAAGGGATGAAAAAAATTGCTTGCTGCTCATAGCCAAGAGCTAGGGCTAGCAAGCTAAAGCTTTTGATAAACAAGAATGACTTTTCTTAAAAACACTGGTATTTGGGGCGACTTGAAAAAACAAAGTAAAGCTTCCAATATATTGTACTAATTTTCTTTCTACTGCAGTGCTAAAAAGCATTAGAGACCATAGATGGTGTTGTTCATTCCCTTTATTGTTGCCATCTTTTCTGAAACTTCATTTAAAAAAAAAAAGTCATCACCATAATAATAAAAAATTCAGATTTGTTCCTATAGTTACAGAGAATTAGTCATGATTTGACCTATGAGGGAAGCTCTTGCACTATTTTTTTTTACTGAAGGTTGCTTTGCAGTCTCTTTACATGAGGACTGCTAATGTTTTGTTAACTGGAATTTTAGTTTTAATTTTAGTCATATTTTAAACTGAATTCTACATAACTTACTTTGGCTGTATGTTTGGGTTGGTTTTTTTTTTCTAAAATCTGAACTTATTTGTTCTATCCAAATCAGGTTTCAGATGGTTTTAACATTTTGTATGATCATTTTCAGACTTTATAAACTCCTTTAGAATGGAAAATATCACCATGTTTATTTCTTGTCACATTCGCTATTTTTTGGTAGCTGATTTTAGCTCATGTAATGTGTTTGATCTGTGAAAGCTGAATAGAAAAACTGAGTAGATAATTGCAGATATTTTGGTCTTCCATTCATAAGAATATTTTTCTTCTGAAGCGTAAAAAGTTTTAATCCCTATTAAGATCAGATTTTAAATATATACTAGAAGATTATGACTTTTCAAATATAAAGGCATTAAAAAGGCTTATAAGGATCGTTTGTAACCTTTTTATTTGATTTATCAGGTACTTTACAACCCATTTCTCCATGGCGTTGGCTTTTTTCAATCTTGATTCCACTAATGATTGCTACACAGGGTTTTAAGAAGAAGAGTCTTGATCACAGTGGTGCATTGGGAGGTATGTTTTTTCTGAGACTATTAAGCTAAACAATTAGTAAACTGAATTAAGATCCTTTTTATTGCACGTAATACTCTTTTAAGACTTTACTACCTAGTTCTATTATAATAAAAGTATAAATGTAAGCATATATACCTTGAATTCATACTGGGTTTTTTTCTCATGCCTGTTTGAATAGCCAATTTTTGCTGCTCTTTGTAATTCGATTAATTTTGTAATCAGATTTATATAAATCTAGAAGATTCTTTTAAACTTCAGCATGCAGCTAAATCGCATGTTTTAGTTTAACATATAGATTGATTCACATAGAGATAAAGAAAAGACAGAGGCAGTGGTGAAGAAATACAATAAAACTGAGCCATGTCAGCAGCCTACCTGCCTGGTAGGAAACCAGTAAAGGTAATGCGGTTCTCCTTTCTGTGATAAGAGCATTTTTTGGCCTCCCAAAAATAAGAAGAAAATTAAATCTGCACTTCAGGTAAATGGCCATTTCAACAAAGCATTTCTTGACCTTATGAGAAAAACCCCAATGTAGTGTTCAGTAGTGTTTGTTGAAATCTGATGTGAGATTTCTGGGTGACTCACACTTGTCCTATGACATTGTCTGAATTGATGGCAATGGAAAGAAACAGAACCTGAAATCCTTTCCTCCCATGTCACTCATTTTGCAAATCTTGTTCTGTCTGTGTGTTAAGGGGAGCATTGTCTAAATTTAAAAAAAACACACATATTTTCTCTGCTGCTATGTTTTTACCTCTTAACAGCTCTGCTAGCCAGCTTATATTGGCCTTTGCTGTAAGTGCAGCCAATTTTCTTTCAGTCGCAAAGAATTGTAATCTCATGGTGGGCCGTGAGAATAGACCTCCTCTGTGAAGAAGGAGATAAAAAAGCAGTACATCCAGGACCTCAAATACTTAAGAAAATTACAGAAAGAAAAAGATGACATAAAAATCAGAAACAGAAAAAGAAAATTAAGAACAGAAGGGAGAAGTACCATCTGTTAAGATATGAAGCAATGTTGTCCAGGTTATCTTAGAGACCTTGGGGGAAGGATTTGATTCCTAAACTGAAGATAAACTTGCTGATAGAGACACAGCCACAGCTGTATATATGCATCTTATACAAATAATCATATTCTTCAGGCAGAGTACTTAAATTTCAATTATATATCCTTTGGCTTTTTTTGTTATTGTTCTGTCTTTTATTTTTGCACAGTATTACTGATTTGTGGCAAGAGAAGGTCTTAAAAATCATACACTTTAGCAGTAGCAATAAAATTAGCAATTTAGCAATAAAATTTAAGAGAAAATGATAAAGATAACTGATTTTTTTTTTTTTCCAGTGGAATTCCCATACAGGTATTAGGCACTTCAGTAATTCTCTTATTGCATGATTGTCTTGGGTTAATCATGAAGATACTCTTCATATTCAAGAGATTCAAAATACTTAACTGCTTTGCAAAGCAGGGATTGTTACATGAAGGAACTTTATATACTTTTTTTTTTTCTTCATAGGATTGGTGGTTGGATTTATCCTTACAGTTGCAAACTACAGTTTCTTCACTTCTTTGTTTGTATTTTTTGTTACTTCTTCAAAACTTACTAAGTGGAAAAAAGATATAAAGAAGCAAATAGATTCAGAATACAAAGAAGGTAAGCCATAACATTTAATTCTTTCGAATCCCTTGAGGAGAATAAATACTGCATATTCCTCTTCTTTTCAAAGGCTCAAATGAAATGTAACATCCAGAGTAGGGAACGCTGTTGTTGTGCCTCCCCTCTACCCCCATCCTTATGAACATTCGCAAGTGACTCCTTTGCTTTTGCTTCTTGTTTTATTTAATAAGTTGCTATCTAGTTTCTGTTTTGAAAGTGTGTCTTTTTAAATTTAACTTTATGTGTGTGTATTTTGCTTTTGTTTCATGCTGTTGCCTGAAAATACATTTTGGGTTTGTCACTTTAGGTGGACAGAGGAATTGGATGCAAGTATTCTGTAACGGAGGTGTTCCTACTGAGCTGGCTGTCTTATATATGATAGAAAATGGACCAGGTGAAATTCCTATCGACTTTTCAAAGCAATACACAGCCTCATGGATGTGCTTATCCCTTTTGGGAGCTTTGGCATGCTCTGCTGGTGATACATGGGCTTCAGAGATTGGTAGTGTTATGAGTAAAAGCAAGCCGAGGTTGATAACAACCTGGGAAAAGGTTCCAGTAGGTAAGGTGTTATCTGTTCTATATGTTCTTAATATTTTGCTGATCTGTTTCTGTTTTGAGTGATGCATTCAACTTGAAAAGTGCCAAAAAAGCCCCAGAAAAACAGACATCGGAAATCTGGGATTAGAAAATGTTAGCAGGAATTTTCAGGAATGCATTCTTTGAAATGGAATATACTCAATTTGGTTTCTGCTGCATCTTGTCAGTGAGATGTACCGACATAGCATCCAGGGAGCTAAAATCATTCTTAGTTCTAATCTCTGGCACTATTAAAAGTGTTTATGTTGCCAATAATATAAAGAATACAAGCTATCAACCAGATTTTTCAGACATTAAAATTTTAATCTGTAGAAAAATATATATATTCAATACGGACATTACAAAAAATTCGGTCCTTAACCAGATTGCTCATTTCCTTTAATATCTTACCAGCGGTGGGTAAAATGAACCTTCTGTGTGTCAAACCTTGTCTACACAGTGGATGACATTGCTACCTTAAAGCAGCGTGTCTTTTTTGAGTCTTGCTGGCATGTTGATCTGAGTTTTAGGTCTTTTGGGATAAGATTTAAATGCATGGGCGTTTTTGTTTTTTTTTCTCTTTATAAGTGTTCTTCAGATTTGTATTCAATGAGCTGTCAAACATCTTCTTTTCTGTGGATTTTGTTCTTTCTTTTAAATGTGTTGGTGCAATATGTCTTCGTATGCTTCTTCTAAAAGAGGCATTGCTTTAATGACATGCATGTCTCAAGCTCTGTATTTTTTGGAGCAAATCTCTTTTTCTTATCCTGCCCCCCCCCCCCCTTCCAGCGGATAAATATGAGGTCACATTGAGAGGTGTGCTATCTGGTTTTATTTAATTTAATGCTAATGAATATTTCTAGATAACTAGCCTTAGAGATAGGAAAAGTTATAGTAATAGTCTGTAATGGGACAGGTTAGGCTTTTCAGCAGCATAATGGGAATTGTAAATAAAAGCTGTGATAGCAGAGCCTTGTTGATATAAGGGGGGGAAGATCGCTATGAACACAGTTTTGATTTCATATAAAACATTTAAACAAATACAAGTCTTTAAGAAAAAGTTTGTAAATCAGCTTGGGTTTGTTTCATTTAGGTACTAACGGAGCAGTTAGTTTCGTGGGCCTGCTTTCAAGTTTGCTTGGGGGCATGGCAGTAGGTGTAGCCTACTTTGTAACACAGCTCATTTTCGTGACTGATCTGGAAATGTCTGCTCCGCAATGGCCCGTTATTGTGTTTGGTGCAGCAGCTGGCTTCTTGGGGTCAATTGTTGATTCATATTTGGGAGCTACGATGCAATACAGCGGTAAGATTCGTCTCTTTTCTTTTATATTTTTTTTCCCCTCTCCTAATGTAACCTAAAACTTGACTTGAATTTCAAGAGGGGCTGAGGACATAATTTTTAAATAGAAAAAATATAGAATTAGCAACACAAAGGACAAAAGGAGCCAAAGTGATGGATGTGATAATGAAAACAAGAGCAAGGACAGTTGGTCCTTTTCCACATTTTGATTTATTTATCTTATGTTACTGTCTTGTTGATGACTGAGAGGGACCAGAGATCACCAACATATTACCTTGGGAAAAGCAATTGCTGCCCTCTCCCTTTCTATATATCTAATTATGGTAACATTTTATAAGAGAAAATGTCAGCTTAATTTTAGCCATTTACTCAGATTACGTTGTCATTGCAGAAGCTCCGTTTCTAACCCTGAAGACATAGCAATAGTCTCAGCTTTAAGAATTAAATAAGAAGAGCTCCAGGAAAATGTGCACAATATTTTACATTCTGTTTTTTCACCATGTAATAGAGTATTGTTTCCTGTAAGTCAACGTTATCACAAACTAGCTGTGGCTTTAAAGAAAATACTTTAAAAATCATGTCCATTTTTAAAAATTATGTTGGCTGGCTGCTTCTAAACAATTTCAGTATTTATTTACTCATTGTCCTTAAGGATCATTGTCTGCAAATAAACACTGCAGACAATCTTTAGGCTAAACTGTAAATTTACCCTACGTTTATAAATTGTTTAAATATCATATCTGACGCTATTCTGTTTAACAGCTGGTTTACAGAGAGAACTGAAGTTTTCAGATTTTGTTGTCAGTATACTTACATGTTGGAAGTCAAGGCCTGAATGTGCAGATGAACTGCCTGAGAGATACAAGTCCTTTAAATCTACCATCACAGTGAGAACTGCAAACTCTTGTTGATGCTGTGTATTTGGCTTTCCAGCAGTTTTTATTCTCTATTTTTTGTAGCTCCAGTAAAGTTCAAAATATAATGGAGTGTTTAATAATTTGAGGAATTTTTAGATATAATATTTCTGTACTAAAGAGGAGACACTTAAGCACTCAGACAATATTTCATGCACCTAATGAGGCAGATGCATTAAGATATTTTGGTAAAGCTAGCTAATGCACACCAGCATTTATCAGCATCTATTTCTTCTTCACTTCATATATTTTTCTATGCTCAGCAGTTTAGGTTGCTAGCTGTAGCAGGGGCAAGTATGCAAGTTCCACAATTTCTTTTACAAATTCACAAGCACTGCTAGATTATGTATACTAGAAACACATTATGCTATGGTATATATGCTGTGATATAGATGCAATAGTGCTGCTCATGTGATGCACACTGTTAGGTTTTGTGTCCCTCTTTGCTTTAGCCCATTTTTCCAAGCTCTACTCAATGTGGTCTTGTAAGAAATACTCCAATTTCTCTGCAGCATCTTGAAAAACAATAAATAAATACATCTGTGGTAATAAAGAATTGTGTCTTTAGTCCGTGATACCCACTGTTTCTAAGAGAAAGTCCTTCCCTGCCCACACTTTTATTAAGTAAAACTGGGAATAGATGCGCAGAATTAAATTCAAATTCTCCCATGCTATCAGTCTGAAAGCATACCTATTGTGTAAATAACCAAGCTAATGGAAAGACTTACAGTTATCCATCCTATCTGTTTATGCTCTGAATCCATGCTATGCGTGGATTTAAGATATATATTTATACAAAGCTATTCCCAGTTTTTCTCTCAAGAAAACTTAAGACTTTCTAAAACATAGCAAGTGTTAAGAGTTAAACTATCTGGATTTGAAGTTTGATTTTTTTCTGTAGCTTTTTTGCATTACCCAAAGCTAGGTTTAAAGGTATGATTCAAAGGTAACAGTAATACTAGCTGTATACCTGCCAAGCAGGTTTGTGGTGTGGGGGTTTTTTTAAGTTTTGTCTGAGGTGCTGAAAATTTTTTTGTCATAAAGCAGCAGCTCAAAATGAAGTTTCCATGTTGTGGCTATCCGCGGATGTTCAAATCTGCAGACAAAAATAATGTTAATATAAAATACACCTAAATAAGTGCATGTACCCAGTTATACTTCATTATAGTGTGAATTGCCATTAAAATCAAGCGTGCTAGAATTTTATGTGTTTGTCAGCATATAAAATAATGCAGCTGGACAAAACATCGGGTAACTGTGTGTACAGTAACAGTGAATGAAGCACAGTGCTAGAGTACTGATAACACAGAGGTAGAGCAAGAAATAGCTTAAGTACTAGGAAAAAAATCCAGCTGCTGGTAGTATAAAACCGCTGTGTAAATAGAAATGATAAATTCAGCCTCTGTAAGGAGCTTATTTTCTGTCAGATCACGTAATAATGTTATTTCCATAATTTTCCTTTGTAAACAAATACATCTTGACAGTGAAATAAATATTGCTAATCAGTTTTTTCTGTTCTGTTCAAAACAACAACCTTTGCCTTAGAATGGCTCTTGCAGTAGCTTTTTTTCCTCTTCTGATTTAGCTTGTTTCATTCCTTTCTTTGCTATGAAACTACATAAAGAGAGAAGCAGACCTGACAGAAGGTCTTGTAACTTCTAACGTAAAGTATTGCATTTATACCCATTCTTTGAAGCTACCAGATAAAACTAACTGTGATTTAGTTTATTCTGTTGGTGTCTTTTCTTAGAGGTGTAACACAATAATGGTAAATTAAATTTAGGAAGTTGCATACACTGCGTTACTAAGTTTCTTTTCAGCTTGGTTGACTTTGTAAAATGAAGTCTTTATCTTTTCCCAGGTTTTGACCGGAATATTGGCATGGTTGTCAACCACCAAACAAAAGATTCCAAGCACATATCTGGAAAACCTATATTAGACAACAACACAGTAAATCTTTTTTCTTCTATAATCATAGCTTTGGTGCTTCCAGGGATGGCGTGGTTTTTCTGGCCCAGGCGTTGAAGTGCTTTAAGGTTTTCTGCATGTGATTCTGTTAAGTTCAGTCTTACTTAAAGACTCCGAAAAGTTTTCTTTGAACTCTCTTGAAGAGAGGGATCTGAAACTTTCAGAGAGCCAAAGGACTTTCCATCTCAGCTTCTTAAGGCTATAAGCTTCATATGGCAATTGGCATCGGTCAGGGCAAGGAAGGGATTTTGTCAATATGCTCTTGCCGCTCTTTAAATGGATGTAGATCATTGCCGAGTGAGGTGAAGCTCTTCATTTATCCTCATGGAGCTGAAGGGTTGGCATCTATGTTCTTTCCAGTTCCCAGCATCTGGAAGGACAAGAAGCTGGAAATAGAAGTCTAATCTACATCAATCAGTGTGATGGAGCATTGTGGCTATTGTCCAATCCAGACATAAAGTGCACTGCAACTTTATGTAGGCAGTGATAACATGGGTGAAATGGGTGAATTCTGGTATTTCCTATAATCTACAATACGTAAGGGTTGATGGGTATTTTGGGGGGGGAGTGGGGGTGAAGAGAGAAGTAAGCCTTGTTGCCTATTCTGTATCCCAATACTGTCTCCACTTCTCTGAGAACAGGGTTGGTAAAAGCGATGCCACTACATAATATTTGCAGCAAAAGACTAAATTTAAAATAAAAACTCACCAGTTTTTCTAGTAAGAATAATAAATTTGTGGGTTTTGGACATCTTCATTTCAAAACTAATATTTATGAAGATTGTCAATACTATGGTACTTATTAAAGATTACAGTTGTGAAATCACATTCATCTCTTTAGAAATAGAACATTTTTTCCATAAGAATAGAATTGTTCCATGTTTAACATTCTGACCAAACTACACTCTTCTTTCTCAGCAGTGGAACTGTTTCCCATTTTGTTTGGGGTTGCTATTCAGAGATTATGGCCTCAACCAAAGAAGCTGCAGAGGTTATCCTCGTAGCAAATGGGGAAAGTCTCACTTACAAAGTATTTTAAACTGGGAATTTAACTTCTGGTGCTCAGGATGCTATGTTAGGTGATTCCATCTTCCATCATGAATTTATAAAAGAGCTGGAAGTAATTTAGCCAGCACAGATTATATTTAAACCTTAGAAATACCCTTATAATAACTGTCACTATCAACATTCAGAAGGTAGAGCACATACTGTTAACTTATAAAGCTTTTTCCTTTTATCTTTAGAGATAGGTGAGTATTTTGTATTGAACAACTGTTTTGTTTTGGGGTTTTTTTTATGAATGTCTTGTGTATGTTGCCTGTCTTAATTCAGTTGAATTGTGTATTATGTCACCTTTCATGGGAGTATTCAAAAATTTTAACATCTTCCATATTGAGTTTACTCTTTTGAAATCTAGTCTATATAAATCTATATAAATTTATCACTGGAATTAGTTTACTGTATTACCCAATTATAAAGATGAGATTTCAAACTAGTAAAAGCTTTCTGAAAAGAACAAATTGTGTGGCTGCTGTATGTCTGTTCCTGTGGAAAGGAACAAAATTATAAAAGGAAAATATGCACTTAAACTGTAAAAATAAACACTTGAGATTTTTATGCGTTGTTTGGATTTATGCTGCTTCTAAATAAACACTGTATTAGTTGTCTTAATATTTTATTATAACTGTTGTGATTTCTAGAATTAAGACAGATACAATTTTTGTAAGATACTTTTTCTTTCAGTTAAATGCCTAATTTTTGTGTTATTTTGATTTCTGAAACAAAGTACACTTTCAAACACTGAAGTAGACCTGGTCAGCTTTTCACTACTCTTTCATATGGGTCTCATTTTAAAAACAGCTTGCCATAGTGAGAAGACATCTGTGATTTTAAATTCATAGCAGCATGAAATGCTTTGATCTGTTATCATATGAATGAATGTGCTCTGAATGAGCTCCTTCAGGTAGGGCCTTCAAAGGCCATTCAGAATTTTTTCTTTGTCATGTCTTAGTGATGACACTTGAGTTGCTTTTGGAATTCCCACTCATAAATCTCCAGTAGTTAGAAAGATCTGAGCACTCTTGAACTCTAAAAAGGACAGTGTTACATTTAACTATTTAGTAGCTGTAAAATGGTTAGTTTGGGGGGCGGCAGAAGGGGAGTAGGGGATACAAGGAGGAAATTACAGTATGTGACAACCTGCTTGTAAATTGGTGTGTGTCACTAAGAGCAGTTACTGAGCTCAGAAGGGAGCAGACAGGGATACCACCTGTCCACGTGCTACTTGGAGAGGGAGGAAATGGAGAAGCTAGCATAAAAACAAGAAAATTGATAGATTTGAAGGTGCAAAATAGGTTACTGCAGTATGCAAATTTAATTTCATTCTTTAAATACTCAAATATTTATTTTGCTTCAGAGCCATCGGTACCCTTGGTATATGAGATAACTGTCACTGATTTTTCTTTCATACTGAGGTGGCACCAAAATTTCCACAGTACCAAGAGGATACACTCAGGTTTTTCTTAGCTGAAGAGGTTCCAGTTGTGAATCATTGGTCCTCATCCTCAGCTTGAGTTTTAGGTGTGTCAGAAGTTCAATTGAAAGTATGATCATAACATATATGATATGTTCATATTCTCAGCATATGAGAAATCTTTAGCCAGGTCTCACTTAGGCTTGGTATCTTGATCCTGAGTGTTGAAGTATACTGGTATCAGTCACCAATATTCAGTTGTTTTTTTTATATTTGTGTTTTGTGGTTACAACGATACAGGTTGTCTTGGGTCTGTCCATGCTGTTGCTGAGTGATCCATCATTGCAGATGTAAACCACACTTCCCTGGGACAACAAAATGAGGGGAATATGCTACCTCTTATGGGTATTAAGGGCTAGCTGAAGACGACTGAATTTTTCTGACAATAAAGGGCTGAAACATCTTGAAATACTGTTGGTATTTTACAGAACCTGATTTGGGCACTGGAAAATTTGGCGATAGATTGATATTCACGTTAAAATCTATTAGGATTGGGCATCTCAGATTTGTAAATAGGGATTGTTTTCCCTGTGTTTCCCCCGGCAGTGCTTTGGCCCCAACTCAGCCTTTTTTAAAAATTTCATTGTCCAGCATCTTAAATTGAAGTCACTCACTCTTCTTCAAGCAGGAGTTAATCTGTTTTACAGCAAGTTTATTCACTTAAAGCTCTGTAGGTACATTACATTCTCTGCTTCTGGCTGTTGCCATAACTGGATAATAACTCTCAATTTAAATACTGGGGGGGGGGAAGGGTGCAGCTTTCACAATTATGGGCCTGTCGTAATGTATAAATATGAGCAGATGCATGAATTCACTCAGACTATGTAGATCTCTGCAGTGCTTCTAAGCCTGCAGCCACCTTCAGTAAATATTAATGCAAGTCCAAAATGAAGATGAAATACAGGAATGTAGAAACAAAGCTGCAGGGCAAATGGCAGCTTTTATTTGGGTACTCCCAAGACTGTAAAACTTGAGTCCAAGTAAAGAAATTCCACCAAAGACAGCATTTATTCAGTAGCTTTTCTACAACTTTCATCCCCCAGGAGAAAATGGGTCGATTTTAATATCTTGCCACTACAACCATGGACTAAATCATAGAATCCTAGAACAGCCCAGGTTGGAAGAGACTTAAAAAGATCATCTGACCTAAGCTTCTGTGGGAAAGGGAGCCTAGGTTAGATTATCTAGCATCCTGTCCAATTGCATCTTGAAAACCTCAGGTGATGGGGACTCTACCATGTCCCTAAGTGTCAGTTTTCCTTGAAGCACAATAAGGTGGATGCACAGGAAAGCAGAAGACCATGGTTATGTGAGTTCTGGCTGGGAAATCTGCCATGTGACTGACTGATAATATGAAGCAGTAATGATGTCATACATGTTATCACTTTGAAAATATCTTTAGACTAAATGTACCCTCCTTTAGTAGACCTAGCAGGATCATTAGCTCTGGGTTCTGTCATTTTAAAGCAGGGGCAAGTGCTGGTTCCTAATCTGGCTGGTTGACTGAAGAAGAAAAGACTGGGTTTAGCTGAAATGTGGAAGAACCAGTCTGACCCATGTTGAGCGAAAGGGTTTTGGAAAGGGGAATACCACCAATCTGAAACAACTGCCAGTTTGGGGGGACCTGCCTGGTTGGACTTGCACAGCCACATGTGAAGCCCTGTGTAACGTGCTTGCGCTGCTCTGGCCTGGTGGCTGCTTTTTTGTGGCTTTGTTCATGCAAGCATAAAGCAGAATTAAACACCGCAGTGTGATCACCATCCAAATTGGACTTGGAGGTTCAAACCCACACCACTAGCAAGGATAACAGCAGTTTAAAAAAAATACAAATGCATTCTGCAGTAAGAGGAAATGTCAGTATAAAGGAAGAAAACAGTAAGAAAAGTCTTCTGCTGTTCGTTTGTTAATGTCCTCTAATAACTCCAGTAACTAGTTTTGTAAGGACTTTGCAAATGCAGCCCCAGTTGCAAAGTTAAGAAGGTAGAAGGACATTGTATAAACTCATGTTGGCCCTAAGAAGTAACATCATGCACATAATGCAGGAGTAAATACCTGTGTACGAACTTGTTAGAAAGGCTGAGCTGTGCAGCCCAACCTCATGGTTCTGCAAACTGTGGAGAATACACCGTTGTTAATTCTCCCCTTCAATTAACGCAGTTACAGGCTTCATACAAGCCCTTGGGTTCCCCAACATGTTCATTTGGATAAATGCATCAATCAACCTCTACCTGTACAACCCAGCACAACTATACATGTATAAAAGCATTCAAATCCCTATGAAACAACCCAGATCACTGCTGCTTATCAACACTGGGCTGGTTTCAGTCATGAGGGTGACAGTACTGTTGTTTTTTCTTGCTGATGGGCTCTTGCTCCAGTGATTTCTGCAGAGTTCAGCCCCGTACTGGAAAAGCAATGACCTCTGTCATCCCAGTGTTTTTGTAACCACTCCTCACTATCCTTATACTTCATTATTCCATTTGTCGACTTCCTGCATCCTGAAATCATTGCACTGTTGAAAGCTGCTGCAACCAAATGCTCCCCCAAAGCAATGGTAGTTCCAGTCTGCCTGAAGCTCCCAAATGCCTCTGGTTATGGTGCTGCATCATCTCATTGGTCATCTCATTGCACTAAGAGTCTCCTCCTAATACAATTGAAAATGAAAAAGTGAAAGGAGCTGACTCATGATGCATTGGGATAGGAAGCATGAGTATAATTCACCCCCACGATTCTGGAAGCCCTATGTCTTTTGGTAAGGGCCAAAAGAAAAAGGAGAAATGGGTGTTGGTGTGGGACATTGCACACAGGTGTCCACCTGAGAGGCTCTATAGTTAACCTGTGCAAAGCTGTGCCAGAAAAAAACCCAAGCAAACACTAAAAAATGTCTGGAGCCATTATCACAAGACAAAATAGAAACATAATTTAATTCATTGTATTTTAGAGTTTGAAGTTAAACAAACAAAAATATTCTCACACTGGGTTGCCTATAGTTTTGTGAGTAATACACCACTCAGAATCATAGAATTATAGAATGGCTTAGTTTGGAAGGGACCTTGACGATCACCTCGTTCCAACCCCCATGCCATGGGCAGGGACACCTCTCACCAGACCAGGTTGCTCAAAAGCCCCATCCAGCCTGGCCTTAAACACCTCCAGGGATGGGGCATCCACAACTTCTCTGGGGAACCTGTTCCAGTGTCTCACCCCCCTCATAGTAAAAATTTCTTCCTAACTTCTAATCTAAATCTACCCTCTTCCTGTTTAAAACCGATACCCCTCATCCTGTCACTACACTCCCTGAGAAAGAGTCCCTCCCCAACTTTCCTGTAGGCCTCCTTTAAGTACTGAAGCGCTGCTATAAGGTCTCCCCGGAGCCTTCTCTTCTCCAGGCTGAACAACCCCAACTATCTCAGCCTGTCTTCATAGGAGAGGTGCTCCAGCCCTCTGATCATCTTTGTGGCCCTCCTCTGGACTTGCTCCAACAAGTCCATGTCCTTCTTATGCTGGGGGCCCCAGAGCTGGATGTAGTATTCCAAGTGGGGTCTCATGAGAGTGGAGTAGAGGGGCAGAATCCCCTCCCTCGACCTGCTGGCCACGCTGCTTTTGGTGCAGCCCAGGATGTGGTTGGCTTTCTGGGCTGGGTGCGCACATTGACAGGTTCAGATAGGTTTGGGTTGGAGTGGTTTAAAATACACTTCACTTGAGTTCAGAACTCACCTGGAATAAGAATGTAATCTAGATTTCAAGCTTAGATGCCTTTCCTTTTTCTCTTCTAATCTATAATGATGTCAATTTTTTACTGTATATTTTGATTTTTTTTCCCCCAGTGGAAAACTGCTGGTCATCTGTCTTCACTTACTGTTCCATGTGAGAAACTATCTTCGTTCTTAAGGTATAAAAAAGTCAAGAGGACAGAGGCAAGGATAAACCCATATGTAGTTTTGAAAATGCTTTGCCCAATTCTTCCTTGCAGGTGGTTTTGCACTGGAACACAAGCTCTAGCTTGATTACAACGTGCTCAATTTTATTGACTTGTACTCTTAAATCATACGTAGGCAAACTGTTCTCCTGCCTCCAGCCCTCCATGCAATTGCAGGAGAATAAAGTCCAAATTAAGAAAACACACAAGGGCTTAATTTAAATGTCCTCTAACCCGAGATGTTCGCCAACCCAGTCTAGTGACTTCTGCCACAAATTTCTTCTTTGTTAGAAAATTTCAGTATTTTCATGGCCAATAGATTATCTTTCACTCCTGATATTTGGCACATTTAAAGCAAAATCTGTTGTATTTCAGATGCTTTCCCTTAATTCTTGGCTATATTTTCACTGTGGCAGGGCAGTGTTGTTACCCTCTATTTTCTTGAGATTTTTGAGAATGCTGCTTTTGTTGAAGAAAGTGAACCTTCCATGTGCTCACTTATTACTTAAGCTAAAAACTAAGTTACTGGTGGTACCAAACCATCATCTGCTATCGGAGAAAAGCAAGTGCTTAACAACTTTTTAAATGGCCAAACTGAAAAGACTAAATTAATTAATGCAACAGTTTGTGTCATATTAAGGAACACAAATGAACATATCATTTAATGGCAGCCTGAATTCCATCTGGCATGTGTTAATGTTCATTTTCAGCATTTAAGCATCACCCTGAAGAATGAAAGGTGTTAGCAGTTAACTGCTGCTGATATTTGTACATAGTGTAACAGCAAAATCCTACTAGATTTAATAGGCACTGCTATAAAGACTGCTTTTTGACACCTCTAATTTTCAAAAATCAAAACTGTCGAGAGTGTTCTCACTGAGGACTAGCCACTTGCAGATATTAAAATCCTGCTATTTTAAAAGTTTTTTAAGGATCCTTCTATATGGAAATGATTGTACATTTTAGATTAGTATTTTTCTTCACACCGTTACCAGGATAACATTTTGTTTAAAAGTTTCTCATACTTGTTGTCCAAGAAGCAAACCTTATAAATGTGAGCCCAGAAGATTTTTTTTTAAATTTAAATGGAGTTAAAGTGAATGAAAATTACTGTTAAAACTCTGATATCACTTAAACTCCCTTAAATGATGTCTGTATGCACTTGCATACAGCAGTTCTACTTTGATATTTAAGCTAGAAGGTAAGAGAAAAACGATTGTGATAATAATGACTATATATCAGTCTATACCCATGTCTTCACAGAATTTACAAGTCCAAAAATAACAACTGCACATTGTGGGGTTGTTATCATTAGTTCTTTGCAATTGTAATCCTCTCCCATTGAATATCCTCTCCTGTTTATTTTTTGCCATTATCTGAAGAATCTAGTCCTCATCATTCCAGTTTCCTCTATGTATTTCTCTGGTTTACTGCCCCAGCTTCTGGACTGGAGTCTGCAGCTACTCTCTGATCCTCATGAATGTGAATTAGAGGAACCACAGAACAGTGACTCTTTTCATAGCAGCAGATACAAAGCTAGTGTTGACTCTCTGCCTGGCACAGGACTGATCAGTTTTGTGCAATTCCTTGTTCTTTGCTAGTGCAAAAAGTCATACAAAAATACTATCTGATGTCTTCTGGGGCCTCTAATGTCTCACTTTCCCACCCAGGTTTAGGGAAAAGTGAAATACAAACCAACAGAAGCTGACTGCTGGGGTTCAAAGTCATAGAAAGCTGAGCTCTGCTTCTGCACTAGGGATGCTGAGGGGTGCTGCGGTACCCTCTCCTGTACAAGAGTTTAATGCAAAGAGCTCAGCATCTTCCTCTAGAATCGAAGCATTGGTCCTGTGTGAGATCGTATCAGGACACACCAGAGACACATCCACACCAGGATTATTTTATTTCTTTACCCAAGACCATCTAGAATAGGTTGCTTCCCATTTTTCTCAGATAGGAAAACTGAAAAGCAGCAAAGTAAATTAGCTTCGCCAAGGCACCAGCGCTATTATTGTCCTGTCTTTAGTAAGAAGTGGTCCGCTTAGCAAGTTTTGTGAAGACTCCTTTGTAACAATGACGGCACTTTTTACTACGCCAGGGCAGTCTTAATTTGAAGCGTCACAGGTTGATCAAAGTTTTCAGCAGGGTTATTTTCCTGTGCTTTTTTTTCACCATGGAGTTTGTACAAATCTTGGCACAGTCAATAATGCTGTTGTTGTTTTGCCAAGGTTGGTGGCATCAGGCACTCCAGCGCAGCTCAAGTTCATCACTGTTTCACCCCACTAAGTAGAGAGCAGTGAGATACTACCCAGCAAAATGTTCAAGCACACAGTTAATTTTAAGCACAAGAATAGTCCCACTGAAGTGTTAGTAATTGAATCATAGAATGGTTTAGGTTGGAAGCGACCTTGAAGATCATCTAGTTCCAACCCCCCTGCCATGGGCAGGGACACCTCCCACTAGACCAGGTCTCTCAAAGCCCCATCCAACCTAGACTTGAACACTTCCAGAAATGGGGCCTCCACAACTTCTGTGGGCAATTTGATCCAGTGTCTCACCATCCTCATAGTGAAAAATTTCTTCCTGATATCTAATCTAATTCTAATATCTAATTGAAGGGCACGCTAGTGTTGTTTAAAGTCAAGCAGACCCTGAGCAGCCTCGCTGAACTGCAGTCAGCATGCTCCCCGCCATCACCTCTAGCAGACTGGCCCTGCTCATGTGAGTCAAGTTCATTAAGTGCATGCACAGCTGTAGGATTAAGTTAATTGGTTTTATCTTCGATGAGTTGTGCTTAATCGTCAAACATAAAGTAACAAATTCAAAATGACTTATTATTACTGCTATCAGTTCAGATCCTGCCTACCCTGGCACTTATTTTTAGGGTCAGAAAAAGCATTTTGGTAGCCTTCAAAGGAAGTGTTAAACAAATGAACGTGAATAAGCTATTTAAAATTCCCGCACCCCAAAACTGGGTGTAGTAAAACTTCTTCGAATTATGTAGTGCTAAAGCAATCCACGTTGAAAACAAACCAGAAGTTCTCCAGGTGAAATTGGAATTTAGAGAGTGGCTATAATTACACAGATGGAAAACTGAAACCATGATTCAACATTTGTCTAAAAGATAAGTTCTAATTCATATGAGGATTAGTTAGGGAAGACGTCCTAATTAAATTAGATGGGAGGTGAGACTAGTTGATGGCAACAATACGTTTTGGCTTGATGGTCTGTGAACTTTGTGAACTGACCACTCACGTGAGCCGAGAAACATATCCGAACAAGCAGCGACTCTCAAAATGGTGCGCCTCGTTTGTGAGTGACAATATTCCCATCAATACTGGTGGGGGTTATTGATGTGTAACAGCCATTTAACCACACGCTAATCGCGTGGCAGACAAGTGACATGAATACACAATTATATGGTCTTATAAAATGTCTCATCAACTAATTAAACAACTAAGTTGATCAAAATTTCAGGTTTATATTCCACTGAAAACACTGGTACCCTCATACACCAGAAAGTCCCTTTCACGCTATGCTACTTTAGCAAGAAACCTGTTGTCTCTGCAGTGTTGCTTCTTGAAGCGCTGGGATTTGCCCGGCAGTGGGAGAGCTCTGTGGAACGGCTTAGCTGTGTTCACCCGCTTTCACTGTGTGGTATCACATCACCAGGCTAACAAACAGCAAAGTAAATTTAATGATAAGCAGCAATCTAGGACCTATCCTTAACATTTCACAAATCTTGCGTGGTTTTTTGATCAGCTTGTTATTTTCATGCAGCTATGCAAATGTCCTCTGTCCTGCTACCTTAGATCATCCTGTCCTCTGTTTTGCATGAAAAAAAGAAAAATATTTTTCTTTTACAAAGAACGGAGTTATCAGCTGGTGCCCATTGAGAGAAGCACAGCTTGCTATCAAGGGAAGCATTTGTTTGTCTTGAATTTGCCATTAGATACGCATAGTTTCTTCATCTGCTGACATTAATACATTTAAAATTTATTTGGACACAAAAATACCTAAGCAGCCTAAAGCATTCAGACCCAAAACAACTTGCAGGTCTTTGATGATGAGCAGAAGGGATTTCCTAATAAAACCACAGAATTACTAAATCCAGCAGGATTTCCAAAGTGGTTTGCCTCAGCGGAGCTCTACTATGGTATTAATGTTGCAATAACACCACTGGAAGAATTTAAGCTGTATTTCCATTATTGCTACAGGTCTGTGGCTTTGTGTCCTGAGAGACTTGCCATTTAATTCTGCATGCTGAGAGGATGGTTTGGACGTATTACAGCAACTCCTGAGGTAGGACTGGGACAGCAGGCCTGGGTTGCCTTCTCCTACCAGGCTGAACTGGCGGCACCAGGGGAGAACTCACTCTGCCCATCTTACACTCTTCTGGTTCTACAGTACCAAAGTATTCAGCGGGAAGAGGAGAAGGGAAGTCCTCCTACCTTGCTGAGCCTCAAGAATTTTAGTTTGCTTCTGTGAATTATCTGCACTCTTCTAGTTGCAAATAGGTTTTATCACAGGTGCCGCAGCATCTGAAAAGAGAAGCCCAAAGTTGGCAACCTGAATACACCCATATTTGTACAAATGAGCGCTGTATTCTCTTACATGGAATAGCCTCCCACAACCAAGGACACTCTTGTATAATTGACACAGAGGGAGGAGGCAGAAGGTGTAACCTGGCAGACTGGTGTAACCTGACAATTTGGCTGTACTGATGTGAGGACCCAGGTAGATATGATACAAAATCATGAGATTTTGGATGGTTCCTTGATAGCCAAGTTCTTCAATGCTGTATTCTGCTGCTTATAGGGCTGTGTCTGATACTGATGACATATATGGGTTGTGGCAATGAAAGACCCTGTGGAGTTTAGTGAAGAGAGCAGAGGTTAGCACTATCTTCTAGTTGACTTGCATGCTGGGTTACCACAGTTTGTCTCATTCATGAGTGTTCCAGTGAGTTAAAAGTTTACAGTGTTGTTCATTTCTTTCTCCTCAATTTTTCTGCACTGGAGGTTGTACTGTAGCTTCCTTTCACCATGCTTTGGTGATGTCTGCTTGTTTTATGTGCTGGTGAAGTTCCCATATTTTATACAGAAGTATAGAACAAAGATTACAAACAGCCAGGGAATGTTTAATGAAATGCATTACCTAAGAATCAGTTGTCCTCTTTTCAATACTAACCTTTAGACACCAGTTAACCTCATTTTTACAAAATAAAGGCCATTCCCTGAAAAGCTCCGTTAAACTACTTTTCCCCTTTGTTGCTATGCCAAAAGCAAATGACCTTCCAGTTTTGCAAACCCTGTTTTACAGCTCTCGCTCCTGATCTGTTCAGACACACGACCTTCACCATCAATGCCTCCTCTGCAGTGCTGCTCCCCAGGGCGCTCACACTGCAGGTACAGACATTGCTGCCTTGAAGACAGGAAGGTCTATTCCACCTTTGGTCAGAGAAAATCGTTGTGCGCAGAACAACGCATGGCAAAGTGTGGAGAGTGAGTGATATTATAGCACACTTGTAGCATCAGAGAGACCATATCATTTTGTTGAAGTACATCAGCAACTGGTTTATGTTTCCCCATGGAACAAGTCAATTGAGATAGACAGGTAATTTCAGCCTTCACTTTTTAAACAAGCTGTTTACACTGATAGACGATTTCCCTCAAACCTTCCTTTATGATGAGTTCACAATACAGCTCAATGGAAAGAGAAGTAGAAAACTCATCATCCCCTATAACTTCAGACCTTTTTCTAGAATACCTCCATTGAAATAGGATTGTTCTCCAGCTCCTCCCATGTCTTGCTTTAGCTGTAGCAGCAGGTGTCCTGTATGAAAGTAGGGAGCCATCAAAATGGACCCTGAGGCTTCAAGGCACTAGACTGTTTCCTGTAATTCCCCTGACCCAGCCATGTGAAAGTACTCTGTTTCCTTTCTCTACGTTCCTGGATCTTGTATTGTTCCGTCGTCAAATGCATGTCGAGACATCAGCTTTTCTAGGAACCATCAAATGTACCATCAAATCAGAGCAGGAGTCTCAGCATCCCACCTGGAAACTGGCCAGTGCTAGATGCCTCGAAGGAAGAATCAACCTGAAGTAAGAGAATTGGCATTGACAATTTGGAGCTGACCTGCATGTAGTGGACGTTTCTTAACTCACCTTAGTTAGAGGCTGAATTTCCTGAAGCTTTGGAGTTTGTATCATTACTTTGGTCCCTGCTGCACATCTGGGGAGCTCAGGAGTCAAGAAGTAAGACTTGACAGAGCTGGGAGCACAGAGGTGCCTCCTATAGCATTTTAAAACTATCAAGCTTTCACCACCTGAAAGGCAGAGATGACTGAACCTCTCCTTATGCCTGTCACCCTTGGAGATTCACAGCATTCCCCTTGCAGTTGTCGTCATGTGGAAAGGACAAGGCAGATGAGAAAGTGCCACCATTTAAACTAACCTTTGCTGTTACGTGAGACAAGAAGACGCAGAACAGCCAACACAAACCAAGCTCAGGCACCGTTCATTGTTACAGACTCTCTTCAGCTTTTGTTCAAACTGTCATGCACGTTTTAAATGAATGAACAAGTTGAAACAACCAGCTTGATTACAAAACATCAAGAATAAAATAGTTTTATTATTAATTATTAGTATTAATCACACTAGCCACGATTTCTGTGCCTTGCTAGGTGAAGCTATTCTGCTCAGTCAGCAAAGGTTACTCTGTGAGAAAATTCCGGATTTGAATGCAATCCTGATAGGAACTTTCATTCTGAAGAAGCAGCATGTAGTTCAAAGTGAGTAACACATGCTCCACATCCCTCTGGCTTGCAGCAAACAAAGCCTCCTTCTCTGCCGGCAATACTTCTTGAACTGGGCAAACGGGACTCCCACTGAGCATGGTGGGCTGGGGAGCAGAAAAGCTGACTCGCGCATCCTGCCTCCCCCTGCCTGAGCCGGGGCTTCTTGCATCGCTGGAGACAGGCATTGGCAGTAAGGAAAAAGTCCTTTCAGTCAATTCACAACTAATAACTGGAGTTATAAACACACACCCCTTCCCTCCCTTCATGTTTTTATTAGTAGTAAGTACTGTTTGGTAAACCTTATCACGCTCCCACCCCTGTACTCCCGGAAAAAATGTATTAACCAAGGATGCAATGGTATTTTGAATCAAAGTTGTTACAGTTTGAAAAACCCACAACAATTTATGGTTGTTTAGACAATTATTCTATCACCTGATGACCCCTATCCACCTGGGAAGGGGAATAGGGGAAAAACAAGGGAACCCGAGGGCTGAAACATAAACAGATTTAATCAAATAAGCTGAAATAATTAAAATTAATAATACTAAAGAACTAATATTGATCCCAATACCAATATAAAATATACAAGGATTATACTCAGCCCATTCTATCAGTCGGAAGCTGTGCACTCCCAACAGTGGACAGCAAATGTCAGACACTGCGAGCGCTACGGCTTCGGGAGGAAGGGAAGGGCTCAGGGGTCCGGCACCGGGGCAAGAAGTTCTCTGGATCACAGCCATCAAGGGAGAGAGAGAACTCAGCAAACTTGCTCATTTATATTCAATGTGACGTTCATTGTATGAAATAATCCTGTTGGCCAGCTTGGGTCAAGTGCCCGGGTCTCGGTCCTCCTTTTCCCCAAACCTGGCAAGCTCAAAAACACTGAGACCTTGAAACCCACATACCATAGCTGGCTATAAAGTAAATATTTTCACAAATTCAGACACCAGAATCTTCTAAAAGTGCAGTTTTCCCAAGCATTAGAAGAGACCTTACTGAAAAGTAAAATTACTGAGAGAGAAATTAATCCTGTGTCATTCAAATCAGGACAAAAGTGCTTGTAAAGAGGACTCGGAAAACCGGATTTCCCCCAGAGGGTTTGTTTTGGGTTGGTTTTTTTTTTTTTTCTGGATCTTGGCGGTCTAGTTGACAAATGCTGTTGTTTGCTAGAAACCTGTTAATAAATCTGTGTTGGGGTGTTTTTATAATGAACACATCAATATGTCTTGTAGCCATCAGTGTCTCCACAAGGGAAAAAAAACCCTACCAAAACACTGCAGAGAATCCCTAACCATTGATTCACTTATTTTAAAAAATGTAGTTCACAGGACAACTGCTGTTTACAAGCTTACTAGTCTCTTTTTCTGAAGTACGTATAACTAATGTCTTACATACACTGTTTTACTCCTCCATTTAGATTCAGGTAGAGCTTCAGATGATGGAAATGTGAGGATCCTGGAAGGAGGCTGCGGGGAGACCTAATCACTCTCTACAACTACCTGAAAGAAGGTTGTAGCAAGGTGGGGGTTGGTGTCTCCCCCCAAGTAACAAGCCATAGGACAAGAGGAAACAGTCTGAAGTTGTGCCAGGGCACGTTTAGATTGGATGTTAGGAATAATTTCTTCACGGAAAGGGTTGTCAAGCATTGGAATAGGCTGCCCAGGGAAGTGGTTGTGTCACCATTCCTGCAGGTATTTAAAAGGCTTGTGCAGATGTGCTGCTTAGGCACATGGTTTCATGGTAACTTGGCAGTGTTAGGTTGCACTGGATGATCTTAAAGATCTTTTCCAACCTAAATGATTCTATGATTCTATGGCTTTCCAAAGGGTCTCCCACTGGAACATCCCACTGGAACAACATATGTTGTTATTTGAATGACTATAATGAGCTTAATCTTACCTTTAATCTCACCTTTTATATACACAACATACACACATATAATAGAAAATGACATATACATACATATCTTTCCATATACACATGCACAGAGTGCACATACACTGCTGTGCTCACTCTCCAGAGGCTGCCTAACCCACCGCGGGCGGGCAGCCTCCTCTGGGCTACGATGCAGAAGCAACTTGGTGTCGTGCTCTCATTCACGGGGAGGTGGAGGATTTTGGCCAGAAGCACAGCAGTGCTGGCATTTGTTACAACGTGCTTCTCAAAAATGTAATCTTAATCTCATCAGGCAACCTGGAACGCAGCGGGGCTGCTCATGTTAAGCACCTCCTCACTTAGCACAGGAGGTTTCCTGTTTCCTGCAGAACTGAAATGATGGTACATCTCCCCCAGTGCCTCATACTGCCCTGGAGAATCAGCTGCTTCAGGCTTGCGGGCAGGAGCTGTACTTAAGCATTTTTTCTAGACAGAAAATGAGACCAATATTTCTACCATTACAGCTCTCCATTTCTGACAGCAAGAGGTTTTGCACTGTAAAAGAAAATACTTAACTGGTCAAAGCAGTAAGATGATGATTGCTTTTTATGGGATGTGCTCTTCTGACAGTAATATGCAAATGCCCTTGATAAACTATACTTTTTTTCCTCTTGTGTCCATGTGACTCTTTTGAAACCGGGCTACTTAGTATAATTAAAAGAAGAACTGGCTTTAAATTAGAAATTTCTAAGGGAAGAAATGATGAGGGAAAAGAAAAAGATGGCTGATTCTATTTTATTTGTTCAGTCAGTTGAAATGGAAGCCTTTCTTTAAGAGTTTATATGATAATCCTGCTGTCCAGTCACAGGACTGAACGGGAGTGACAATCGAGCATGTAATTGTTGCTGTTTATTTGTTTACTTGCTCATTGCCAGTATCTATACTGCAAAGCACTTTAAGGAACAATTTGCAAAGGAAAAAAATCTATAAAATAAATGTATTTTAAGAGTGCAGCAATACATTTTGTATCAATGGTAAGGATTGAATATTATTAAAAACAGCTTATCTGTTTTTATCTTCTTTTGAGGGCTGCTTTAGGATAAACCCTACAATGGAGTCCTATGACTGCTCCACTTAGTCCCATGAGGCATATATTTAGAATGCAAGTTTTCCTCCAAATTTTAGAAGTCTGAGATGAATACACTACATTTCAGTGAAATGTTGTTCTCATTTGGGCCATTAATATTCCTGACTATCTTTGTTTCAGCAATAAATATGCCTACAATATTGAAAAAATAAATTAAATTATTTTAAAATTAAGTTTCACAGCTGGCAGAAATTGTCAGTCTCCCATGAACTGGGCCTGGTGACTGCCTGAAATACAATCTGTATCCAGCCAAAGTCATGCCATCAGGCTCCCCATCAACCCTCACACAAAGCTGCCAGAAGATGAGGAATCATTTGCTTCACTTTGTAGTTTGTCTTTGTTTTAAAACTTGTGTTTCATTTTGAATCTGAATTTGTCCAGCTTTGGATTCCTGCTATTAGTTCTTTCCTTGTGCCTGCCCGTGCTACAGGATTAATGAGCTGACCAATGCGAGCCCTTTCCTGCTCTCTGCCCTTTTTTTAAACTATGTGCCAAATTCCAGTAGCAGTTTTATCAATGCTATACACTGAAATAAAACCATTTCTTCGCTACTTCCTTATTTCATGTCCAGGAATTACCTCAGCCCTTTTGCTGCAGTCATATGAGAAGATACTTATTAGATTTTGACTCTCATATTCTTTGTGTTGCTTAAGAGTTATCACTTTTATACCCTTTATAATGTTCCTACTTTTCGGGGGGTAGTTTCTCATACAGTTCTTGCTGGCTGCCTTATTCTTATCACTGTTTATTCCACTGACAGTGCCACATTACTTCATTTGATCAGCACTAATTTTATATTTACTTTCCAGGCCATTTAGGAAACCAAAGGAGCCCCAAAGGAAACATCAGTTTTCAAAGACAATTGTCTCACTGACAGATACTTAGAACCACTTATCCGGCTCTTGATGCTCTGAATCTGTGCTTTATTGCACTATAATGTAATTTTTTTCTGATTGTTAACATGTGGTGCTACGTCAAGCACCTTAAATAATTAGTACAGCTATGACATTATCTTCTAACAGCGAAGCCTGTAATCGGATCTCAGGTTTCTCTGATGAGACCTGTTTTCCCATTTGACTTTGTTGACTGGCGCACATAACATTTGGATGCTTCATTTAATTGTTAGCTGTTCTTTTCCATAATTAAGTAATTCTTCTTGTCATCATCTGCTCCTCCCCACAGCTGAAGGTATGAATACCACAGTGAGGATGGGTGAGTCAAGGACCGTGCGTGTACAGAAATCCGTACAAGCCTATGCGCAATAGGCAATTATCATTACCAAAGAGTCGGTCTGGGAACTGGCTGGTTGCTGTTATATACACGATAATTTTGATGAAGATGCACAGTTGATTAAGTAAGCTTTCCATGACCCAGAGCAGACTGGTTTTGCTCAGAGAAGGTCATTCCTTTCCTCACCCGTGCAATTACCATTGCTTAACTGCAGCTCAGTAGCCCTGAAACAGGTGGGCTTCAGGATGTCCCTGAGGAACTCTGTTAGCACCCATGCTTCCTTTTCCATGTTCCTGTTCCCACTATGGGACCTCTTGGAGAATTTACTGGCTGATCAGCCAGGAAGTACAAAACCTTCCTTCTATTATTACTGCCGTGACTGACCCGTGGTCAGCACACCGCAAGATCTCACTGGGGATCAGCTCACACATCGCTCTCCCTCAGAGCAGAGTCTGAGAGAACCTACAGACTTCCCCATCTTCTGCTGCACCACGCAGCAGCAAGTTACTCTGATGCAAAGTTTTATCCTTTACACATCCCATGAAATAAATACAGACCTGCCAGTAGCTGCACTGGCCATTTGTATTTGAAAACATTGGCATGATATGTCTAAGCAAGGCTCACCAGGGACTGATCCTAGTCTAGGTAGTGTATGATTGCATGGGTCCCATTTTCACTTTTTAAATTTTGACAAAATCTTACCAGTTCTGCCTTCCTCTGGAATTTCCCTGGTCTGCCAGCATGTCTTTAAAATGCGCACTTCTCCTTTTTTAATTTTTTTTTTTTTCATTCTTAACACTGTTATAGCACATATCTAGTAAATAGACTTTTGGGGGAGGGAGGTGTTGACATTTGTAACTATGACGTTTTAAAATCTAACTTCATCAGAAGTGGGTTTACCCTCTACTGTTTGGCTGCCCTGCTCATATTCTGCCTGTCATTATCTTAAATGACTACTAACTGCTTTCTGCTTCCCCTGTCTTCCCTCTCTTTTTTAAAAATTAATTTCTGCTCCTGCTCATCCAGGTAGGGCATTTAGGGAAAGTTACCTCTTTATGTTTCTTTTTTAAATTATGGAATTGTGATTTTTCTATCTTTACAAGCTCTTCTTAGAAGAGTCCCAATTATGATTTCCACTTTGTAAGCAAAAAGTTTTGTTCCTTTGTGAAATCAGCTTATTAGCTACTACTAACCTGTAATGTTCTTTTTTCTGCCCATTTTTATGTCCCTGATGCCTAGGAAACCATCTCCAATGCCATGATTATTTTTAAGCATTAAATCCAAAGATAGGATTGCCTCATGCTGTGCTCTACTGTTTGTTTTAAGAAATGAAACATGAGGCACTCCTGAAATTCAGCTGATAGTTCATATCTGGTCTCCAGCTCCTCGAAAACAGAATTTCTAAGTAGATGACTTCTTCTTCTCCTGTAAGGGCAGAATACAGACAAGTTTCTATGAAGATGTTCAAACTCATTTTCCGGTTTGAGTGTTTGTCTTTTATTGACCCCCAGCAATGTCCCTTTCTTGGGTTTTGCAAGTTAAAATGATGCATTCAAGGTTCTCTGTGTCTGAGTTGGTAGTAATTTTGATACAAGTTACAGTGTCTTCAAAACAAATTATAGGGTCCTGTCTGTATTTTTCTGCTACCTTTATGCTTGTTAAATAGATCATACCATTATTTTTATATTCCAGCCATTCAGATTGTCCATGCAAGCTTCAGAAATGCTATTCATAGCACATTTCTTCTCACTGGTGATTTTTTTTATTCCTCTTGCTCATTTCTCGCTGTTAATATAAGTACAAAACAAAGTAGATGCCTTTGTAACATATTCATTCTCTCAGTAGCCTCTTTTGATTTGACCTTGGTTGCCAACCAGGAGGACTAATCCTTATAGATGAAACCTTCAGACCACCTGCTGGAATGCAGCCAAATGCTCCGCAAAGCCATGACCTTGCATTTGTAGCAGCTGAGCACCCAACAATCCACATTGTGCATCTTCTTCTGGGGCCTCCTCGCACTGGCCCTGAGCCCCAGCAGCCAAACCCCCTGGTGCAGGGCTACTCGCAGGGCCACCTCCACAGGGCTGAAGAGTCGGATCGTGGATTAACGGTGACAAGAGTTACAACACCATTTGTCTCTTCCTCATTGCTTTGAGACTCTGCGTAGTTTCCACAGGATGCCAATTGATTTGCTCCGACGTGTCAACAAAGAGAAATTTCCATATCTTACATTCCTGAGGAATCTTGCTGTTATACCCTGCATTTCTGCCCCAAAATAAGTAGTGCAACAGATACTGTCTTTATGGTCTTTTCTGCAAATTGTGAGTAATTCAAATTCACATTAAAGGCCCACGGGAAATGAAATGGTGTGTGAAAATAGTCACAGTCAGTCAAGGGAATACCTGGACTGAAGCTACGCCATTCTGACAAAAGGCATTCTTGTGGATGACAGCATTTGCCTCATGTACATATTTTGCATCTAAGATGTTTTATTTTCTATAAGAAATATGGCACATCCACACATCATTTTGAGTAACACTGTCAGACAACACAGGAATTATTGTCGTAATTACTATAGCTTAATCATTAATACAGCAAGAACTGCAGTGACTTAGATGGGTGGCTTTAAAAACATACACTAATCAGTCAAGTGTATTCAAGGTAATGGCCAAATTTTCCAAAACTGGAGAAAAATTTTAGGTATGAATATGAGACCAAGAACTTAAAATAGAGAGGGGGAGAAACCGAGGAAAAGTTTTACTTCCTCATCATTCTTAGCCAACATCATTATTCCCTCTCCTTTTCTTCTTTTCCTAGGGAATGGCAGAATTGCAATAAATTAATAAAGCATTTACCCAACTGCCTCTTTTGAGTCCTTCTTCCTTTTTCTTTTTTTTTTTTCCCCTCAGATCTCCATCAGCTCTCTTTCTTGGAGCTTGCTCTGAGCGTGCTGATGCATCCATGCCTCACTCTGCCTTGCCCTCAGTTTGGCTCATGTTTTCACCCCAGTGTTCCTTTACGAAAGGGTTTGAGGGATGTCCATTCAGGGTGAGCAAGGGAAGAAGAAACACTGAACAGAATATTTGGAGTCCAAACAGAGCCTTTGCTCTTGCAAGTGAAAACGCCAAGAGCAGGGGGTGGATGAATGGCAGAGCAGCATGCTGCTCGCTGTTCTGAGCACGCATCCAGGACGCTGCTTGTCAGTGAGGGGAGCTACCAGGATGGCATGGGGATGGTATTCGGCACTGCCACATGTGGCACTGTGTATGTATGAAAAAGATAATGCAAAGTGTCAAAGGATTCAGAACTGCTTATCTCGGGCGGGGAATCACGTTTAAAGACAATTCTTCAATGTGGAGAACTGAACTTTTAAAAAATTATCACTTTTTTCTTTACAAGAAAAAATAACAGTTGTCCCTTGCTGGTGTCATTTCTTAGCTAGAAATCAGATTCTATGTTTTACTTGTTTCTACAAATTAGAAACAAATTTCATGCTGCACAAAGCCTCCAAGCACATTAATGAACCTGTCAAGTACATCCCCATGGGGGCACGGAGGCTCTCAGGCATGAGTGAGTGGATAAAACCTGTTCAGAAAAGCCCCTCCGGGTAAAGATTCTTTCTGAATTATTTGTTCTTTTCTCTTCAGGTTCATATGCTTTGCTGTTCATCTTTATTCTTCATCTTCAGAACCTCAATAGTCATCTTTCTTTTTGGAGCAGACCGCACCTTTTTTCTACATTGATATTTCTTAACGTGTGCTTACTGAATTATCATCTGAATTATCATGATTTACGCAACCCAAAGTATTGATCTCACTCTAGATAAATACACCCACTGTATTTTTCATGGATAGGTTGATGTTACCTGCAATTGCCATTTGGCAGAATAGCATTTAGTGTCTCTCCGTTTAGACTGGATGTTTGTATCAGTCATGTTAGAAGCACAAATGCACACATTACATTCTGAGCATCTCCCTTTCCTGCCAGTACCGAGACTATATCAGTAATTTCACTTTAAGTGGGGGTTTTGTTGTTGTTGTTGTTTTTCCCTGCTCTGATTTCTTGCTTTTATGGACATCTATACAGTTTCAAGGAGCCATTTGATCTTATACAACTGTACATTATTTGGCTGAGATTTCCTACTATCTTTCTTTTCCAAGCAAATCTGATAAAACCAGAGCATTTTACTGCAACTATGACAAATTATGCTCAGAAATATTCTCCAAGGAAAAAAATGCAAATATAAGACTGACATTATCTGCAAAACAACTTTCAGCTTTATCATTTCCAGGAAACTTATAATTATCCTAGAGATCAGGTGTGTGTTGTCAATGGCATGGGAGGTATTCATGCTGTTGTAGGTTTGACCAACAACAGTATCTCCGCTATACAGCTACTACATGCACTTGTGTTTACACTGGAATTGAAACATCTCATTTTTATAAAGCAAGCCAAAAGAAGCACATGATTTTCACTTTCAGAGATACAAAAGGCTTGAGTAGTCTTACCAAGCATGATAAAAGGTAATGGCAAAGGATACAGGGGTGCAATTTGTTTTGGTATAATAACATACATATACATATAAATACATATTGTAGTTTCTTTGTGAAATAGAAAATATGTCTCAAAAGGCATTTTTTATGCAGATGTAATCAGCAACATAGTTAAAACAGAAGGTCTGCAAAAGTATTTTTAGGAAGCTACGTAAAAAGGGGAAGTACACCAAATTAAATGAAAAAGAAGCATTCTCTTCCCAAATATGCTGAAATAAAATAAACACTTCCCGAATTAAATTAACAGTATTAAAATAACTTGATAACTATCACAGATAGTTAAACCTGCAGATATTAATAAGTCATGCTTATCAGATTACACTGAAATGTTGACATTTTAGGTAGCTCTGACAGAATTTTCTGTTTTCAGCCAAATCAGTCTTTTAATTTCTTTTAGCACCAATGGCTGAAATTTTGGAAGGTACAGGACTTTTCATACAAGGAAATCAGTAATCACAGGTTCCAGACAAGAGAGGAAAACAGAAATGACAGAACACAGTAGTGACTCGCAGCAGCCTACTGTCAGTGGGAAGATGCATCTTCTAACTCTGCACCACAGGAAAAGCCTCTTGGAGCAATACAGTCTGCCAGAAATGAGCTTCAGTTGGTGTTTTATGTTTTGCTGTGCCCTCTGTTAGAAAAACAATGCTCACAGTTACGCTGTCAGGCCCATTCAGCACATGCACGTCATACAGGGTGTCTTTCCTACAGCCCCTTTCAAAGCTTCAACTCTCTTTCTCACTGGAAGATAGTCTGTATGTCCATCACAGTGTACAGTATAAGAATACACTTGACTTAAGATTGATGAAAAATCACCCATGCAGAAAGTACTCTTTTTAACCAATAAGATGTAACTGATACATGGATCACTTCTACTCAAAGGAGAACTGAAAAATACAAATCAGGTGTATTCTTCAGTCTAATCCTGTGCATTTATGAAGAATGTATGTAGAACCTGCTTTTGTTGAAAACTGTAAAAAGCTACAGGAACAGGAAGGTTTTTTGCTAACAGTTTTCAAGACAGCCTTCCACACAGCTCTGTGCCTCAGCAAATGCATTTGCCACCAATTACCTGGGAAAGCCTCAACCTGCTGGGCCTCGCAAGCAGATTCTGCACATGAGCATTGATTTCCATTGTCTCTGGCAACCTTAATCCGAACCCGATCTTACCTCCTTCTATTCAGCCTGAAAGAATAACATGCCAGTCAGTTTTACTGCCTGTACACAGAAGGCATGATTGACAGAAGCCAGCACCACTTTCCAGCAAGACAGTGTTTTTATAGCAACTTGCTGAAACCACTTACGTGCTAATAAAACTGGGAATTTATTTAAAGAAAGGATACTCCTGAAGATTGTGTCGGCATTGATTTTTTACCTTGTCCCATTTCCTTTATTTACATCTGGAGAAAATAAAAACCAATCCATTTTGTATGTGAATGTAATGCTATTCATAATGAGGCTTCTTGCTTCAGGAAATTTATCTTTGTTCTCCTGGACGCATTCTCAGTTCGTTTCTCTATTTTTTCTCACACAACAGAGCATTAATACTATCTGACAGAGAAATTGCGCTGTGATGTCTTTTCATAAGCCTTATTTTCCTTACCACTAAATGACCATCAGAGAGAAGTTATGCTGCAGTAGTTTGGGTTGGTTTGTGAGGATCGCTCATGATACCTAGTGATACAAGGCAGTTATCTAGTTCTTGAGTGTATGAAACACTGCCAGACCCCTTCATTTAAGGAAAAGAACGTTCTTCTTGTGCCTTTTTCATTGCCTGCTCTCACATCAGTTTTAAAGCATTTTGTTACGGACTGGTTGTTTGCAAACATTGAGTCTACTATAACTCAGTTCGCATGGGTAGGGCCACCGAAGTTGGAACAAAACCCATGCCGATGATGTTTATCATCTGTTTGTTAGAGGCTTTGGCCTCCTGCTCACACGGAGATGTCTGGTAGATACACTTCCTTCATTTGAAAGCCTTAATATGGCATTTAAAAGCAAATTCATACACGCGTATAAATCTTGCATGGGTTTCCATTCCTACCGACAGTTTGTTTCTGGATATGGTAAAGCTATTCGCCGCCCTCGGGCCTGGGGCATCCCCCCCTCAGCGGTCCGCCACACCGCCCCCCC